ATGAAGGACAAGATCGATAATCTCGATGTCCAATTCCGCAGTATGAGTGAGGCTATCGAAACGTTGGGTGAAGGACTCGGCAATACCAAATCCACGGTGCAAGATTTAATGAAGACCATGAACCGGCGATTTGATGAGATGGCGCGCACGGTTCTCGTTTGCCTACCACCGCCGCGGCAACGCGATCAGGCGCGGCAGCACGAACGCGAGTAGCCTGAAGGAGAAGATCGGCGACGCGAGGAGCACGAGCGCGAGGACGACCTCGATCGGCAATCCCAGGCGTCCACGTACCGCGAACGTCCGAAGGTCGACAAGCCGCGCATCACGCTGTCCACCTTCACAGGCAGCGATCCGGATGCATGGCTCCACAGGGCAGTACAATATTTTGAGCTTAATGAAACCGACGGTCCCGACCGCGTGAGATACGCAGCTTATTATCTTGATGGTGAGGCCAACGTATGGTGGCAATGGCTCACAAGGATCTATCGCAAGCGACAGCAAATTATTACTTGGGATGTTTTTGAGAGAGAGTTGCTTACGCGATTTGGTACATCCGATTATCATAATTACAATGAGGCTCTTACGTGCATACGGCAAACAGGCAGCCTACGCGAATACATTAGGGAGTTCGAACGATTAGCTTGCCGCGTGCGCGATTGGCCGGAAGATGCACTAGTTGGCGCGTTTATCGGCGGGTTGAAATTTGACCTGGCCGCTGAAGTTCGGCTCGAGAGGCCCGACACCATGCACGACGCGATGGAAGTGGCACGACGACGAGAAGATCACCTCGTCGCCACGCGAAGGGGACGGGCGGACGTGCGTTTCGCGGACACACGTCGCACGGGACCAAACCTAACCACGGCCAGCGCGCGACCGAACGTTAACAATCGGCCAGCGGGGTCGATAGTAAGGCGGCTGTCTCCCGAGGAGGTCAAGCGGCAACGTGAGAAGGGTCTTTGTTTTAAGTGCGAGGAGAAGTTCACTCCGGGGCATCAGTGCAAGCAAGCCTTTGTCATTGAGGTGGCCAACCCGGACGACAAGGAGGATGAGGTCGAGGAGGAACCGTCTCAGGAGGACGAGATTGAGGCCTTCAGTGAGGAGCCCGAAATTTCGATGCATGCAATGGCAGGAATCAGAGGGCCAAGGACAATGCGACTACCCGCATGGGTCAAGGATCGGAGAGTAATGGTGCTCGTGGACAACGGTTCGTCGCATAATTTCATCAATGCTGACTTATCTCAGAAGTTGAAATTACCAACCACAAAGATCGAGACCTTTGAGGTACGCGTAGCCAATGGAGAGAGGTTGTAGTGCACTGAATCTTTTCGAAAGGTGCCAATCAAGTTCCAAGGAGTCACGGTAAAAGCTGATCTGTATGCTTTGCCCCTAGTTGGACCAGATGTCGTACTAGGTGTCCAGTGGCTCGAAGGACTAGGCAAGGTGACGACCGACTATCGAACAGGAGTTATGGAGTTCAACTCCGAAGGTCGTCTGGTCACCCTCAGCACCGGCACTGAGAAAGGAACTAAGGAAGTAGGGTTGAAGAGCATTGAAAGAGTTTGGCGTGGTGGAGGCCAAATTTTTGCAGTAGTAGTCGAGAACATGGGAGCGCACCTGACTTGTGACGAACAACAGCAAGGGGATGTACGCGAGCTTCTCAAGGAGTTTGAAGGGGTACTGGGTGATCCTAAAGGGCTACCACCGCACCGGGAGTTCGATCATCGCATACCATTGGTTAATGAACAGCATTCCATACATGTCCACCCTTATAGGTACGCTCACTTTCAGAAAACCGAGATCGAGCGGCAGGTTGCGGAGATGCTAGAATCAGGACTAATCCAACACAGCAAAAGTCCGTTTTCTTCTCCAGTCTTGTTAGCCAAAAAGAAAGACGACACGTGGAGATTCTGTACTGATTACCGAGCCCTAAACGCTGCAACCATCAAGGACCGGTTTCCTATTCCAAGTGTTGATGACATGCTTGATGAGTTAGCGGGGTCGCGATATTTCTCTAAACTGGATCTACGAGCTGGTTATCATCAGATTCGGCTCCACAAAGCCGACATTCCCAAGACGGCCTTTCGTACACACCAGGGGCACTATGAGTATCTGGTTATGCCATTCGGCTTATGCAACGCCCCATCCACCTTCCAGTTCGCCATGAACTCTATCTTCAAAGAATATCTGCGTAAGTTCGTTTTGGTATTCTGTGATGATATCCTAATCTACTCGAAGTCGTGGGGCGAACATCTTGGGCATCTAAGGATAGTTCTCGAAATTTTGGAGGCCAACTCATTCCACATCAAACCGTCCAAATGTTCATTCGGGCAGGAGATGGTTGAATATCTTGGTCATTTCATATCACATGACGGTGTGAAAGTCGATCCGCGAAAGATTGAGGCTATGGTCGATTGGCCTAAACCAACAAGTCTTACGCAGTTGAGAGGATTTTTGGGGCTCACAGGTTACTACCGAAAGTTCGTAAAGGATTATGGGACCATCGCCAAGCCACTGACAGCAATGACTAAGAAGGGTGGGTTCACATGGACCGAAGCTAGCGAGGAGGCGTTTGGAAAGTTAAAAAAAGCTATGACGACAACGCCAGTACTCGCCATGCCCAGATTTTATGTCTTGTTCGAGGTACACACCGATGCGAGTGACATTGGAATTGGGGCTGTGTTAGTGCAAGAGGGGCGACCCCTAGCCTATCTCAGCAAGGCACTGGGCACTACTCGGTTAGGTCTGTCAGTGTACGTGAAAGAGATGCTAGCGGTTGTCGAGGCTGTACGGTGCTGGA